TTCTCAAGCCTCAAGGCTCCCTTTTTAGAACGCTGGCTGTGCCTTTCGTTTAAGTAATTATAGTGCTCTGGGAGACATTCTTCTCTGCAGTGCTGGTGGGGATACATCACAGTTTGTGGTATGTTGCTGTGTTTGTGCTAACTAACACCAACTGGAGTGATGGAGAGCACATTATTAAAAGTGCAGTTCTTCTTTCCTTACACATTGTAATATTGTCCTAAACATTTTATTTTGAAGGCATGCAGATACTTGCAGTTGCAAGGTATCACTCAAGTTTCTGTTACCAGGGCAGACCTGTGAGTGGATTTGGTGATGTTAGCCCTGCTTAGAGCAAACAGTCTTCAGAAGCACCCTAAATCCAGAAACTTCTGTGTCCCATTCCTAACCACCTACATCACATCTCTGGATATTCTGCAGGCTGTGTGTGTGTTTGTGTGTGCAGCTACCAGCTGGCTGAAGCTCCTGACGTGCTCCTGTGTAGAACCACAGGTGTCCCTGCTTGAGCTCTGGTAATTCTGGCCTTCAGCTGGTGCAGATAAAGCTGTTGGGAAAGATGATCTTGGGTAGCATGTAGTGCACAAGTATAACCATATTCTGTTATTCCATGGGGGCTGTGGTCTTCTAAACTCATCCTAAGGGTCAAGCTTACTGTGAATGGAGTCTCAGACCCACAGGAGGAGTTGTACCTGATTGTTTTGTACCTGGACAGAATTAGTTCTTCTCTTCAACAAGGGGAAAAGCATCAGGAAACTCAAAGGGTGGTATGTATCTGTCTACATTTTGGGTTCTTAGTCCCTCTTAGCAAATGAGTCTTTTTGTGTCATGTCCTTCTGGATTAAGATACTAAACAACATGGATAAAGGTGGGGAAAGAGAATCAGGCCTTATGGTATGTTATTTGACATTGCTACTGCATATATTACTGTTTCTAGACATTTTTAGACAGAAGGAAAGGGATAGACCTTGTACTTCAGAATGCATGAAACATGTATGTTTTGAAGAAGATGTAATATTCTGTGTTTATGTGGAATCTTTTTCTTAAAACCAGAAATGAATGTCAAGTAGCATAGTCAGCTTGAAATCTGTATAAACAAGGGAATTACAACAGGTTCAGTTCCTAGACCTGCTTCTTAGGTCTCTTAGTAACTTTTGGGTATTATAGTTTCAACTCTTCTTGTCCTTAAGTAGTTTTATTTTCTTTGTTATGTGAAAAGCACCGAGGAAAACTTAGTTATATAATGAGAAAGCACTGAGTGGACCAGGAGCTAGTCCATCAAAAGGCTGACATTTTAAAGAAGACTGTATTAGAGAAGATTGTCCCACCCGTATTAGCAGAATTTTGTTTGCAACTGCGTGTACAAGAAAAATGAATGAGCTCTAAGAAGAAAAGCCTGATCTGGTATTTAAGTCTCAGCTATGGCTGATCTATTTTGATATATGGGTTGATACATTTTATCTCTCCAGAATGTTTTCATTTTCTGTACTACTTCTGGCAAGTCTTTTGGCCCCACTGCACGTGGTGGCAAGTGTCACAACACCTTTCTTCAGGGCTGCAGTGCCCACAGTGAGGCTGGCAGCCTGGAGGTAGGTGGGCAGGTGTGACATAAAATCTAGATGGCGTTGGGATGGCCAGGGAGAGACCACTGCAAGGTGCTGCCCTCCAGGCACAGACTCTTTATCTGGCACTGTCTCCAGTGTCTGACCTTTCTCTCAAGAACCAACAAGGTGACAGCAGTAATTTGTCTGGTACTTTACTGGTTTGTACATTCATCCAAAACTTGGGAGTTCACTTTCCTTTTCTCCTGCCTTAATTCCTTCATCCCTTTTCTGGTAGGATTAGATCCTACACATCTAGTTAGTCTTAGGCAGGATGAGAGGAGAAGACACTCCTCATGCCTGTTTTTAAAACAATATTTGTCATAAAATTCAGGATTAACGGGGATAGAA